TCTTTTATTTGGGGGGGATCGGGGAATCACCGAAAGCCGCATTTGGTTCCTTGGCTGGACGTTTGCCAGTCGCGGGATCAAGGTGGGCTGGGCTTGAAACAATCAAGGCTCATGAACGAAGCACTTTTAATGAAGTTGGGGTGGACGCTTCTAACGCGACCGGATAAGTTATGGGTAAAAGTGCTATGTGCGAAATATCGTCTGCACCCATTAGCGATGGAGGCCAACTTCAAGTTCCCGAAGGGTTCGACTTGCCTACGAGCCATCGCTAAAGTGTGGTCGCAGGTACGTCGGGGCACTCGCTGGGCCTTGGGGAATGGATGTAACGCGCGATTTTGGGTGGATATTTGGCTGCCCTCACATGAACCGTTAATTACAGTGGCGACCAACAGCGTCCCGACGGACCAGATCGACGGAACAGTGGCTGATTTTGTCACGGAGGCTGGGGACTGGTGCTGGTCGAAGTTCGAGGACCTACTACCGACGTCACATCTTCTGCTCATCGCAGCGATGCTCCCACCAAGACCTGCTGCGCGACCTGACCGTCTGATTTGGGGTTATACGCCGAATGGTTCCTTTTCAACTAAGTCCGCCTACGCATCCTTGGTGAACCCGACACCAAACCATGCCCGCCCTTTGTGGCACGCCATTTGGAGTGCACCGGTCGCCCAAAGAGTTCGTCATTTCTTGTGGCTAGCGGGGCGAGACCGACTCTTCACGAACATGGAACGCGCGAGACGACACTTAACTGGGGACACGGGCTGTTATCTTTGTGGAAGGCAGGAATCAATACTCCACGTCCTACGTGATTGTACTCAAGCCCGTCGGGTGTGGGCTGCGGTACTCCCGGAAATCAATCGGGAGGAGTTTTTCTCCCAGGAACTGAGACAGTGGTTCAGAGCTAACTTGATGGTGGGTAATTCGGCTGGGATACAGGCGTGGGAAACGACTTTTGCGGTAACCTGTTGGCGGTTATGGCACTGGAGGAATAAGGCGATCTTTGCGAATGAAGTGGTACCCCTCAAGGAGCAACTACAGGACATTCGACGTAGGGTGGCCATGTACGTGGACTGTACGAAATGCGAGAGATCTTTGGGGGTGTTGGGTCGCCGTTATGCGGATCGTATGATCCGCTGGTCTCCGCCACCAGATGAGTGGATTAAAATTAATTCTGATGGTGCTCTATGTACTACTTCCGGGCGGGGTAGTGCCGGCGGGCTTGCGCGGGACTCGCAAGGACGATGGCTTGGGGGATTCCTTTTGAATGTGGGATTATGTACCATTACTGGGGCGGAGTTATGGGGCCTCTTCCATGGGCTTCGACTGGCATGGGAATTGGGAGCGAGGAAAGTGCTAGTGGAGGTAGATAATAGCAGTATAGTTACAATGGTGACGGGAAATGAGGATCAGTTGGGCCTTCATGAAAACATCATTCACGCCATTCGCGAGCTGCTTAGACGGGGATGGGTGGTCCATTTGTCTCATATCTATCGGGAAGGTAATTTTGCGGCAGATAAGCTAGCCTCATTGGCGGCTACGGCATCGGTGGGATATCACCGTCTTTGGGAACCCCCGTGGGAACTTGGTCATTGGCTTCAACATGATATTGTCGGCGTGGCTCATCCACGTCGAGTGGCATCTTAGGCTCGTCTAGGCTTCGGCCTCTTCTTGTATCAAAAAAAAA